TATTTTCATTATCTCCTGCCTTGATTTAATAGAGAAAATTAACCACATACCCTAAGAAACTTTAATGAACAGCTTGAAACTGAGAGCTGCTTATTTAGCTACTTATTTCTTTTTGGAGCATCAATTTGAATTGAATGGAAGCCCACATGCCTCATAAGATATTTAGAAAAAAGAAATTTCAGCCCTCAAACATTAAAGAGATCTGTACTCCTACAAATACGGTATTACTAATAAAATGCCTAAAATGTCAGTCACCAGGTAACAGAAGTTTCAAAAGTGCATTCTTTATACTGGACAAACTCAATAGGACACATGGGGAATTTGACTGTGAATTATAATCAAAAGATTCAAAGAAAAGTGTTTAGTCATTTTGAGGATTAGAAGATAGTGCTTTTATGAATCAACCATTACTTCTTTCAGAAAAATACACTGCACTTTCACTACAGTGTACCCATTTAGCTGTAGATCATACCAAATTGTCACATAACTTCAGCATCAAAATGTCACTGTACTATTCAGCTCATACCCTGTCCACCTTTTTATTGATGAAACCAAGAAATCATTAATTTCAAAAGAAAAGTGAAAAGATATAGAAGAAAGCAAGCTAGAGAGGGCTCCATCCAATCCTAAAGTCTCTCACTAAGGATATAACAATATCATATTTAAACACATTTCTCAAACACTAACATGAGCAATAAGAGAAACAAATTGTTGCCTTAATAGAGCTATAGTCTAATCAATTATATCTGAAAGGATGAGAGCTATTTTTTTTAAATATTTATTCATGCATACAAAAACTGGGGTACAGGCCAGATGCACGGGAGGGTGAGAGGATTCACCAGAGATGTGGGGAACAGAATAGGCAGACTGAAATACGCTGCTGAGGGGAGCAGTGGGCGAGACAGGAGAGGTCTGCTGCACCATGTGGGTTGCTCCGTGGCCAGCCAGGATCGAACCGGCGCTGCAGAGGCTGCAGACAGCTTCACAGTGCTGCGCTCAACTGCCTGTGCTACCAGGGGAGGCCCTGAGAGCTATTTTTAAAATAACATGAGGTTAATGGAATAGAGACTGCTTTGGTTACTGTAGGTGGAAGATTTGGGAGAGCCTCTCCAAACAGGTAAGAAAGGACTTGAACCTGAATGATTAGAAAAACTAAGCCATACCAAGTAAAAAACATTCCAAATAGTAGTGGAAGGGTAAAAGTGCCATAGGAGAAACAAATTTTAAATGTTTGAGGAACAAACAAAAAACAAATATGGTGGGAATATACAGGAAAAGAGTAGAATTACGTGAAATTAAATTGCAGAGGCATGTGAAAATTCTTCTGTTCACTGTCAAAATGTAGAACCTAGAACCGTGCTTTGTCCATGGTTGGTATTTAATAATGTTATATTGAATGAAGTTGGAAGATCTGAGTTAGATATTCTTGATAGTCCATCTGGGTAGGGGCCAGAAAATGTAGGACTTTGCAGAACAGCGTTAGATGAGTTTGAATTTTATCCTAATCACAAGGGAAATTCATTCAAACGTTTTTAGCATGGGAATTATCTGCTTTATACTTTGTTTTCAGTAGCACTCTTGCTACTGTACGGAGAGTAGACTATAGAGGAGTTGGACAATATGCTGAATGTCTTGTATTGCTCCTTAGATCTCTTCCCTTTTCCACCTCTGTGCCAGGAACATAGAAGCCCTCTGGCTTCTAATTGTATTCAACCAGTGGGATTTTTAGCAGACCTTGAGAAGCAGAGAGGCACTGTCTTTAAATGGGCCTTCTATCCCCTGCTAGGAGCTATGTGAGAAAACTAGAAACTAGTATACTGGTTAAGAAGCTTTGCAGTAGTATAGGCAAGAGATGATGGCATCCTAATTTACGGCTTATTGTGGAAGTAAAGCTTGTTTATTTTGGAGGTAAATATGAAAGTATTTGCTCATGGATTGGGTGTCAATGGAGAGGTAGTAACAAAAAAGGAAAACCTCAAGATCATTTCCTAAGTTTTGTTTTGGATGGCACCTTTAAATCAATGGGGGAAAACTGAAAGGGAAGCATTCTTAAAATGAGTTTAGAGGGGCAGAATCAAAAAATCTATTTTGGTCAAGATCCTATTTGCATTTAAATGGGCATTTTAAGTTGGCAGAGGGGAGAAGACAGAGTTTAAGGTTTAAACTTTTTACTCCCCGCATAATTTTTTCTTTCAATAAATTACAATTTCAGCAAAATTACATTGAGTTCATGGAAGAATTTTTATAATTCATAGAATGGAAAGAATTGTGGAGAACGCAGTCCTCAAATTTGGCAAATTCTTAGGAATCAGTAATCCACATGGTTAGTTGTCTAGTTATAAAAAAAATTCTGAAGAAAGTCTAAGCAATAAAATCTGATTATAGAATAACTGGTTAGAAGCAAGAATTCAAAAGAAATAAGAGAAAGCTGAATGTAAGAAATTATGAAAAAGATTATAAAACCAAGTTTTTAGCTTTAGTTATCCCTAGTAACAAGAAGAGCTATTCTAAGTAAACAGAATTCTTCACCACTAATTTAAATTTCCCCCAACCACCAACGTCAGTTCAGTTCCACAAATATTTATTGAGGATTTACATTTGCAGAAGATACTGTGCTAGGCTGTGTGGTTGCAATGCATTAAAGAAAAATATTCTTTAAATTTTATTTAACTGCTAAACATGAACTAAAATAAAATTTTGTTTCTCCTATAAATAAAAAGGCCAAGGAGTCACTAAAATGAGCTAGAGAAGCCAGAACCCTGGGCCACTCATAGCTTGAATCATTAGCTCTGGGGTCAGAGATTTTTCTTGAATCAAGATTAAATGGTACACTAGACCTGCTCTTGGAAAGAACTGTTTTAATCTGTGATGAAAAAAAATTGGCTGCAGAGGTGGTCGACCTATGCCCCCAGTTGTGTGGCAAAGCAAGAAGCTATGTTCACACGTAACCATTCAGCTTGGAAATCAGTGGGTCCAGGGAGAACATGTTCTCCAGGGCTACCACGGTGTAGATGAGCTATTTTAGAATGCTGATCCCCAACCTGGGTCATGCACCAGCTTCTGCAATTCAGGGAATGTCATACAGGGGAGACTGAGGATTGAACTCCAGAAGTGCCACCCCTAAGGTGCAGAGAGTAGAGTAAGGCCAGGCTCTTTTATGATAAGCTTGGTGCTTATGAGGTCCCAGCTCTCAGCATGAAGCAGCAGAGAGCCTTCCATTCTTTCTACAAGCAGAGTGGGATTCCTGTCAGCGCAGGAAAGATAAGCCTACCATTGACTTGCTCTCCAGCTGCATCCACACCTCAACCCAAAGCATCCGTCAGGAGGTACTCTGTGAATGTTGCACTGAATGGAAATAAAACAATCTTCGCCCCTCTGTCACCTGCATTGAGTTACTTCACCTCTCTCACCTCAGCTTATTTTTCTGGAAAGTGGAAATCAGACCTAACTCGTAGGTGGTAGCACCAGCCTTTAATTCAGTGTCTACTGGGATCCAGCCATAAGAAAATGTGTCTTTCTCCTGTGAGACTCAATTACGTTATTTTTTTTTTTTTAAACTTAAGGTTGTTCACTACTGGTTCGGATGGTTTGAAAGACTCCATGGTTAGAAGGCCTTAGTAGACAAAGTTGCTTGCTTTCCTAACTGCATTCTCCAGTGACCTCAAGCCACAACTTGAGCTTCAAGTTCACAACTGCATACAAAGGGAACATTTGCCCAGGTGGAGTCCAAACAGCCACTGGTTTTAACAGAGGCCTCTGTGGTGTTCAGGGTTTCCATTTACTTCATTCCCTTAGGGAATAGTAGAAGGGCATTGTTTGGAGAGAAGGTTTTCAGCCCTAGTTGAGCAAGGAGGTTTAAAAAAAATTCTTTTTAATTTAAAAACTGTTGCCCGGGACATGCCTCTGAAGTTTTTGTTTTAATGATGCTAAGATGGGGATTAGGCCTCAATATTAAGTTTCCAGGTGATTAAAGTACATCCAGGGTGTGGACCACTGAGTAGGAGTATGACAGCTGGGGCTCAGTGACATTCTGACTGTACCATGGGCACTGTCTCACCATCCTAACCATGACTGGGCACAAGTCCCCCTTGTGGTTCTCAGGAGAAGGGGAGAGGGGAGATGTCACACTCTCTTTATGGGTATTTCCCTGAAATTGTACATAACCCTTCCCACATGTCTCATTGGCCAGCACTTCATTACACAGCTGGGTTTCTCTTCAAAGAGGTTGACAAATATTGTCTGAATGCTGAAAAGTCCTGTGTCCAGCTAAAAATTAGGGCTACCTTTGCTATCAGAAGGGAAGGGACAAATACTTGAAATAGGAGCTAACAATTTGTGCCATTGAGGATGCCTCCCTTCCCCCACCCCACCACAGCTGGAATAGAACTATTAAGTTACATGAGAACAATGGGTGTGGCTCAAGTCCCACTGAAATATGCTTTTCTTTCTGCTCCCATCACCCTGAGAAATCACCAGTCCTACAAGAGAAGAATTCCAGGGGAGTTCTTCAGAAATCCAGGCCTCCAAATCTTTTGCCCCTCCAACATAGTGAAGTGGGTGTTAGCTTGTTGAGAAAGAGCAAGGGCTGCCTTCTCTGAAGATCAATTCTTCCAGATTTACACCAGTGTCAGGAGCTCTCTCATTTCATTCTGGAAGAAGCAGATTATTTTCACTGAATCGTAAATATGTTTAACACTCTATTATACTAACCTTTTAAACCAGTTGTCTTGGGTGGTTGCAAATCATAGCTCAGAAGCAACTTTCTAAGATTTAAAGGCCCTTGAAATACCTGGATCCTATAATTGTTCAAGATTAAGAGTGGAGGGTGTACACCTTGCTATAAAATTCATTTCAAGGAGAGAAAGCAAAATCCTTTGAGCTGGTTCCTGGTTTTTCTTATCTGTCTTTTTTCACTCCTTATTCAGCCAAGGCTTAAGTCAAAGAGGACAGTCAAAGACATTACTCTTCTACATGGGGTTGACACTCTCTTCCTTCCCCAGTGTTCCAGGACCTGTGGAGGGGGCATCCAGAAGCGTGAAGTTCTTTGCAAACAGCGCATGGCTGATGGCAGTTTCTTGGAGCTTCCTGAGACCTTCTGTTCAGCCTCAAAATTGGCCTCCCAGCAAGCCTGCAGGAAAGATGACTGTCCCAGCGAGTGGCTACTGTCTGACTGGACAGAGGTATGTGTGGTCCTCAAAAGGAGATAACGAAAAAGGTATAGGAACAACATGTAGGGTGGTGACATACATCTGAGGTGTGAATCTAGTCCCCTAAATTGTATACAATATTGCAAATCAGTGTTACCCCAAAAAAATCTTTAAAGAAGACACCCCAAAAATATACAGAGGGTAAGAACAGAACAAAATAATCCTCCTTACATTATGGAGCAGTATTTTTCTATGTAACCAACTTTTAAGTAGGCTGCTGGGACATGAGTTAAGCAGCCAGTCCTTACTCAACAATCAGTCATAAATGTTACCCGGGGAACAAAACCAGGCTTCGTTCATGTGGTTGGGGCCCCAGATCCTTCTCAGAACACTGGGTTATTATCCCTCTATCTCCATGTGTCCCCCCACCTCCTGACCTCCCTGTACCTCCTACTCCCAGATGTTTCTAGTCTGTACTCAGGAAGGGCACAGCCTCTTCAGTTCTTCTCTTCCAAGTACTGGACAATAAGCAGCATGATTTATTAGGAAAAGAAGGCCAAGGAAATCCTGCCTTTTTACTGTCAGTTTCCTGGCTGCAAAACTTCAACAACTTCCCAGCAAGAGAATTTGATTTCCCCTGTTGCTTTTGCATTTGGGGAGCTGATGCAGCATCACTCACCATTCCTGACTTTACCTCCAACTAATCTCCTTTGCCAAATAATCCTCCGGTAACATTAGCATAAATTAATCCATTTACATCCAGCATCAACTTACTTGTTTTCAGCCCCATCTCCTACTTGAACTCCCTACAACTCCCTCAGCTTTATAGACCCATGTATGTCCCATAAAGAAGTCTCTCCAAAATTGCCTCACACACAGATTTAGCCAAGAACACTAGGCCTGAAGTGAAGTGTCCAAACCAGATTCAAAGCCCGCCCCCCCACCTTTGTTGCATATGAGCATTTGAATTGGCCTTGCTGACCCCATTAGCTGCTTTGCACAATATTCAACTCCCAGGATGGAGTGGCTGCTGGTTGAAATATATCACAGGGCTACTTCCTTCCACAGAAAAGAAAGCTGCCTCTGAAAATTAAAATACCACCTTTTTCAACATAGGTTCTTAGAGTCCTCATCCTGCATTTGATCAACCCATACAGAGTCCCATCAGGTGGTACCTGCTGAGGACATTGCAGTTGAGCTAAACTATATTACTACAGGTCTTATATTTTGGCAGTAAGATAGCTTTCTGGTAGCCTCTCACACCAGATGTCCCAGAACAAAAAGAAGATTTTTTTCATCTACTAAAATTAATTTTATTTCATCATATTAAAGGATTGAAAGTATATGGAAAGAGCATGTGTGTGTGTGCCTATGGAATTTGTCAATTTTCCGATGGAATGGTGACTTAGGATTTGGTGGTCTAGATGAGCAAATCCTAACAAAAATAGCAGTGCGGGAGAGAACACTGAGGTGTTTCCTGGGTGATTGGTTCTGGCTGAGACCTGCTGAGGGCAGAGGGAGCTGGGGAGGAGGGTTTGTAAAAGGTATTGACTTGTTAAGCCTGGCAGGGATAGTCTGCCATGGGTAGGTTGCTAAGAACAAGGCTTGTCTGTGTCATAGTTGTCCTTCCATGTTCCTGGAGTTTGTGGCCTCTGAGCATGTGGGACACAGGGAATTTAAAACCTTTCTTTCAATCCACAGATTTGAAGAAGGGACCCTGGAGATTAAGCACTAAGGAAAGGAGACTGCTAAGCTGAGTCCTGTGGGCCCCATTAAGTAAAACAAATCTTTGGAATAGTATTATGGAGAGTTTAGGCTCAAAGACAGGCAAATTTAGGTTGTAATCTCGATTCTACCATTTTTGTGGGCTAATTAACTTTTATAGATCTGTTTGTTTACCTGAATAATGGAGATTATAATAGTGTCCACTTTTATGATTATTGGGAGACTTGAATTAAATGATGTATATCAAGTGTTTTAGGCCCAGTAAATTATAGTTACAATTCTCTTCCATCCCTGCTCATTGTCAGAAGAAGAATAAAAGAAAGCATTTACCTTCACTGGTTAGACCCAGGGTCATGGCCTAGACCTCCCGTGGTCTTTGCCCATCTTCCTAGGGAGGAGGAAGTTATGTTTTGGGAACTAGGAGTTGTGTGTTATTAGGTTTTGAGCTATCTGAGTTGATGAATGGAAATTCCAAACATTGGGGAGGGGCTGGGAATGGTGGGAAGTCATTCACTGGGATTAACTGGGGATGTTCCCAAAGGCTCCACATTGGCCCTGTCATCTCTACAGCCTTTCCCTTTGCTCTCTGGCTGAGATGAGATGTGCATTCCAAAACCCTCCCCCACCAAGAAAAACTCCCTTAGACAAAGGAAGACCTGGATGATCTATGGGTGTTTTTTATCCTCAACTATCTGGGCTCAATCTCATGGTTACTGCACAGAATCCCTCAGAGACAGAATTAAGCCAAAGTTTTAGACACTTCAAACAAAATTGCTTTCAGACTCTATTCTGAGAGTAAAACCTCTCAAAAGGCCTTTGCTTTTTTTCATTAAAAGAAGCCCTCTATCTCCTGAAAGACTTGGCTATTAAACATTTTTAAATCATAATTTGGGGAAAGTTGTTACCCCCAAATTACAGGAATGAAATGAAAATCAGGATAGTACATTTTAGTGCTAGAAGGAATTTAGATGATCCAATGGCCTGGATATTCCTTTCAAGATTAAAGCCACAGAGCCCTCTTTTTCCATTTCCCCAGTGAAATGTTACTATGAAGCCAAAAATCTAAGAGGTAAACTGAGCTGTTTTGGTTGAAGCCTGGGTAGAGTTCCCAGATCTCCAATAGATGGGTCTCCAGATCATCTGAGAGGTCCTTGAACCACTTTCCCCACAGTTAGAGAACACGGTTTGAAAATCCCTACTCTAACTTGGTTTCCTTATTTTAGAGATGTGGAAATTGAGCCTTGGAAAGAACTAGGCTTAACCAAAATCATAAACCCATCTTCTGACATGCAGTCTATTTTTCTGCATGGCAGCCCTAAAATAACCCTACTTTTAAAATTTCCAGGCTCTTTACCTCCATCCCACCTGATCCCTGGATTTGGCGCTGTCATTTACAATAAAATAAAGGATAGTTGGTGTCTGGAATCCACCATTGTCGGGGTACAAAAGCGATGGGTATTTTGCAGCTTAATCATCTTTCAGGGTGGTGTATATCACAGCACTTTGAATAGAGTAGTTCATTTCCATGGCTAACATATAAAACTTGAAAATATAAGATAATTTTCTTCGGTTTTTACTGTCATTTTTCAAGTTAACGTGGCACACTGCCATGACCCCAGTGCCGGCTTTTATCATCTGAAGCCTGAACTACTGTGGCAGCCTCTTAACTGACATACCTGCCTGCCATCTGTCTTCTCCCATCCCTCCCAAACACTGTTGCCAGATTAACCTTCTCAAAACACCTCTTTCATCATTTTACTCCTCCCTTCAATGGCTCCTCATTGCTTTATGGACCAATTCCAAAACTCCTGTCTGAAAATTTAGTCTCCAATGCCTTGCCCCAAACTACCTCTTAAGCGCCTAACACTCTCGATTTAGTCTCTCTGTCCAAACAGGTTAGTTCTGCCCCCAGGCCTGCCTTGGACCTTTCTTCTTTGTTTTTTCAATGTAACAAACTATTTTATTCTGTAAATTTACCCAATCTGGAGACAAACACAAATGAGGAATTCAAACATTGAAAACCACAAACAAAAACTAAAAAAATAACAACAAAAGAAACCTTAGTTACATGAGACTGTCCTAATAAAGTAAAATATTTTGGGTGTGAACCAACATTGCTCCAAGCTCTTTCCCTCACCTCCCATGGTTATTCTTGGTTCTCTACACCCACCCAGACGCTACCCATTTTCAACACCTAAGTCAGGAAATCACAAGCATTCCATAAGCCTTCAGCAATTGTTAGCACCAATTTTCTGTACCTCACTTGTCTTTTAGTTTTATATATTTTGCTAAATTCTGTTATTCCTATTTCTTTAAACTGCTTGATTGAGGTATAATTTACATACCATAAAATTGAATTTTGCATAATATTTTCTAGTTTAATCCAAGTTGTAGCACATAAAAGAACTATGTGCTACATATTTATGGTGGCATAATATTCCCTTACACAGTTATACCACATGTGGTTTACCCATTCACCACTTGATGGACATTTGAATTGTTTCCATATTTTGCTTATTATAAATAATGCTGCTGTGAATATTTGCACACAAGTCTTGGTGTGGATGTATGTTTTCATTTCTCGTGGGTAGAGACCAAAGAGTGAACTTTCTGGGTCATATGGTAAATTTATGTTTAACTTTTTGAAAAACTACCAAATTGTTTTCCAAGGTGGTTTAGTTGCACCAGTTCATATTCCCACCACCAACACATGAAGGCTCTAATTTTTCTACTTTGTTACTTTTTTTTTTTAAAGATTTATTTATTTATTTATACAAGCACTGGGTACAGTCAGAAGCGCAGAAGGGTGAGAGAATTCACCAGAGCCAGAGCTGGGAGCAGAGCAGGCAGAAGGACCGAAGTACACTACTGAGGGGAGCAGCGGGCGGCAGGAGAGGTCTGCGCGCCATGTGGGACCCTCCTCCGGTGGCCGGGGAGCAGCCAGGGATCGAACCGGCGCTGCAGAGGCTGTGGGCAGATTCACAATCCAGCGCTCAACCGCTGCGCCACCGGGGAGGCCCTCTACTTTGTCACTTTCAATAAACAACACTATTATTATCTCTTGATTATGGTCATGCTAGTGTATATGAAGTTGTATTTCACTGTGGTTTTTATTTCTACTTCCTAATACTGTTTCATCTTAGTGCATTTGAACTTTTCCTCTCATATGATGACAGCTCCTTGATTTTAGAAACCATCTCATACGTCTTTTTTCCAATAGCATCTAGCCCCCCACCTCAAGTGAATACATATCACTTAAATGATAGTTGGCTTTAAATATTATTTCTTTGTGATGGAAGAAGAAAGGAACTAGCATTAATTGTCATTTTAGTGTGTGACATTTCAAATATTTTATCTCATTTAATTCCCAACCTTGTAAAATAAGCATGAAAACTGGAAACAGACTCAGGGTTTAATTTGCCAACTAGTGAAACAGTAAGCTAGAATTTCAGCATAGGGCTTTATAAAACACAGAAACTCTAAATCCCAGAGCACATAAGTAAAAATAGGTAAAATGTCTATGGGGAACCTTAGAGAATATCTGAAAGGTGAATGTGGCTACAGTATGAACATGTCTTCCAGAAATGTTATATAATTAATATTTCTCTCTCACTCTCTCAGTGGCTGTTGCATTTCCAAGGAACTTTTCTCATGTTTTGGTGACTTTGGGAGCCCACACAAAAACCCATTAGCCTCTGCTTCCCTGTGTTTACATGCATTTGATCTTTCTTTTCCCGTCAGTGTTCCACAAGCTGTGGGGAGGGCACCCAGACTCGAAGTGCCATTTGCCAGAAGGTGCTGAAAACCGGCGTCACAGCCATTGTCAATTCCTCCCTGTGCCCACCTCTGCTGTTCTCATCATCCATCAGGCCCTGTATGCTGGCAACCTGTGCAAGTGAGTAGTCAGAGTTCTGTGGGGACAGGGAGATGAGCTCACATACAAGCAGCCATAGCCATGCCATAGCCTATCCTAAACCCAAGGCCAGTGGAAGATCTCGGGCAAAAAATCCTGTGGAGGGCAGCAGTCTGGAGAGCTCAGCTGGATTTGGAGCAGGAATCTTAATTACCAGTGGCCAGGCAGAATTCTCTTCTCTGCTGGAAAAACAGTTTGCAGGGGGTAGAGCAAAGATCATTTGCTGGCGTACGGAGATCTGGAAGCCGGAGGCAGCATAATACTAATGAAGTCTAATGTTATCCACTCTGGGGTTTTAAACTGCTCTAAACAGATTTGTTCTGTTTAATATTAATCCCTAGAGTTATAACACTTCTGGGCTCTCCTCCCCATGCGCATTAGGGCCCTGGTGCTCTGCTGGACCCAAAGGGTAAACACTGAAATGGAGACATTCCCCTTCACATTGTCCTCTGCCTCTTTTTATAATTCTGATTTTTTAAGTCCTTTTAATGAGAGGAACTGCCTTTCCCCTGGGTTCCTCCTCCCTCTAGAACTCTGCATCTCAGCTTCTAGGGGCAAAAAGACCCAGCAGGGTGATAGTGGGGTGCCCCACTGCACCTCATTAGTTCACTGTTTGATTGCGACAGGCAGCTTGATGGTCCACAGCTGGCAGTCAGTTCCTCCCATAAAACCTAAGATGGTAAATGAAGGCCCTGGCCAAAATAAATGCTGTAGGCCTTTCTTTCCTCTATGTCCTTCCTCTTCACCCTCTCCATTCCCTCTCTCCTGTCACTGAATCTTTGTCTTTTATCCTCTGCTGTTCCCTTACCTTTCTCCATCTCTCTGGTTCTCATTCCAGGGCCTGGACGGCCAGCCACTAAGCAGAGCCCTCATATTGCAGCCGAAAAGAAGGTCTACATCCAGACGCGCAGGCAGAGGAAGCTACACTTTGTGGTGGGGGGATTCGCCTACCTGCTCCCCAAGACTGTGGTGGTGCTACGGTGTCCCACACGGCGCTTCCGCAAGCCCCTCATCACCTGGGAAAAAGACGGCCAGCACCTCATCAGCTCTGCTCACGTCACCGTGGCTCCCTTTGGCTACCTGAAGATCCATCGCCTCAAGCCCTCTGATGCAGGCGTCTACACCTGCTCCGCTGGGCCGGCCCGGGAGCAGTTCGTGATCAAGCTCATTGGAGGCAACCGCAAGCTGGTGGCCCGGCCCCTGAGCCTGAGGAGCGAGGAAGAGGCCCTCATGGTGCGGAAGGTCCACCCAAAGGAGGCCCTGCAGACCCACAAGCACCAGAACGGAATCTTCTCTAATGGCAGCAAGGCTGAGAAGCGGGGCTTCACTGCTGACACAGGGAGCCGCTACGATGACCTTGTGTCGAGGCTGCTGGAGCAGGGGGGCTGGCCGGGAGAGCTCCTGGCCTCGTGGGATGGCCAGGACTCCACAGAAAAGAATACGTCCTCAGAGGAGGACCAGCACGCAGAGCAGGCCCTTCTGCACCTGCCTTTCACCCTGGTCACTGAACAGAAGCGCCTGGACGACATCCTTCGAAACCTCTCCCAGCAGCCCGAGGAGCTTCGTGACATCTACAGCAAGCACCTGGTGGCCCAGCTGGCCCAGGAGATCTTCCGCAGCCATCTGGAGCACCAGGACGTGCTCCTCAAGCCTTCTGAGCGGCGGCTTCCCCTTGTGGCCATTCCTCCTCATAAACACGTGTCTGGCTTCACCAGCTCCCTGCGGACCTCTTCCTCTGCAGAGGCTGGGGGCGGCTCTCGCAGGCCTCACCGCAAACCCACCATCTTGCGGAAGATCTCTGCTGCCCAGCAGCTGTCCGCCTCAGAGGTGGTCACCCACCTGGGACAGACTGTGGCCCTGGCCAGCGGGACTCTGAGTGTGCTTCTGCACTGTGAAGCCATAGGCAACCCAAGGCCTACCATCAGCTGGGCCAGGAACGGAGAAGAGATTCAATTCACTGACAGGTGAGCCTTGCAGCTACTGGGATTGGGGGGTGTGGGGGGAAGCAAGGGGCCACAGGTTGTCCAAGAGACCCTCTTCACACTTCCTTCAAGGTGTTTCCCGGGATAGCAGTTAGAGCACTAAGCCTCAGGGATCACATCTTGGATTCAAGCCTTCTCTCACCATTGGTAGACTAAGAGCAAAAACAGGGTGTTTACTTTCTCTAAACTCTGTGCTCTCATCTTTGTAAGATAATAGTGTCTATGCCCATCCACCCTAATCCCCAGAGGACCCCAAAGATGAATGAGATGCTCTCCTGATAGCTTTGAACTTCTGGCTGAAAAATAATCAGGCCAAGTCATTATTACATTACCACTTTGTGAGATGAGCCATTGAAAAGCTTCAAAACGGGGACACTGTCTCCATGTGTGTGGTAGGAAGAGAGGCTCCCCCAGGGCTGGGAAGAGAGTGCAGCCAGAAACTGCTGCACCCTCTGTGTGAGCCCTTCCTCTCTCTGGGCTGGACAGGGCTGTTTGTTCCAGAAAGATTTTATTTCCAGCCAGTCTTGTGATTAATTATCCTAGTATCTCTTAGTGTCTCTGTTTTGATATGCTTCTCCTGGAATGACAGCATGTATGACTTACTGATTTCCTTGGGCCATAGCCATTCATAATGTAAAATCAGTAGTGGCTGTAGAATTAATAAGCACAGAATTTTTTTTAACACTACATGGGTACCAACCACTATGCCATGCTTTATGAAACCATACTTTATAGTAGCCCTCAAAACAATGATTTCTGGTATTCAAAGAGCAGTGCTCTCTGATAGACAAGTGTTAACTCTTGGTGTATGTCATCTCTATGCATTCCAACAGCCCTGAAAAGTGGGTACCATTTTTACCCACACTTTACAGAAGAGGAAACAAAATCTAGGAACTTGATAAATATCGTATTTATTAGGTGGCAGAGCCAAAATATGTGACAAAAATCATCACTTGAATTATACAGTAACTGTGAGGGGAAAAAAACCTGTAAGGCCCTCCAACCCAGAGTCCTCACCCAGAATCCATGCCTGGTGCTCTTTTCATTAAATCTACTTCTAACAACTATTGTTAGGCTAATCCTCTTTTCTAGTTTACTAGTTTTGTGTAGGGAAGGAAATAAGTCAGGGTTTATTGTGCCAGGTGTGATGCCAGGTTTATTTATATGAAGCTGAACTTTTTATTCTAACAGTCAATCCACAAGTGTGACATCAACCTCCAGTTTTACATTAAAAAATAAGTTCAGCTCATCCAATATTACATTTTTAGTAATAACTGGATTGAGGACTCAATATCAAGTTTACTTGATTCCAAAGAGTAGTCCTGGCTGTGCTTCTAAAACTTGATAAACAATCTTTGTCCATCATTCCCACAACTTTAGTACCTTTAAAATGTCAATAATATTGCCTCAGCCTTAGTAAACCAATAGACCAAAGAACTTCAATAATAATACTAAGTATTTTTTTTCTGTGTGCTCTTATGATATACCAGACAATGTGCTTAGTGCTTTCAAAGCATTTTTTTTTTTTCATCTTCCCAGCAAACCTATAGGGTAAACACTACTGTTGTTACCACATCTTAGATAAGAAAGCCGAGGCACTGATGTTGCACCCACACCCAAATACAAGGCAGCATAAGAGTCTGAGTTGATAATATCTCTTCTTGTTTGTTTCTGGCTTCATTCCTTCCCAGCTTGAACTTTGCTTGATCTGCTTAGTTGCTATGATTTCTTCACTTCTTTCCTGATCTTTCATATTTATAGTAAATTGTTGCATCAGACCAAAGTTGTAGTAAATCCTTTTGAGGCCACAAGGTCACTGAGAATCAGGTCCTGTGTCAGGCCACCAAAATGGCAGGTGCCAGAGACAGTGGTGCCTGGCGCTCAGGTGGATGATGCCCTAGAACTCACTTCAGCCATTGTACCTGCCCCACCCACTGAGCCAAATCATGCAGTTATTCCCACCAATCAGTTAGTTCCTCAAGTGTGCTTCCATTTTATTCATATCTCCTTAGTCTTTGCCCAGGATTGGTGCTATTGAGATTTAAGGGTGCGGTATGGGGGGAAAGATGGAAATTAGAATTTCTTGACTAACTACATACACACTGCCCCCATGTCAGCAGTCATCACTTGACTCATAGACTAAATGTGAAAAAAGCCTTTAAAAACCTTTCATAGTCATCATCTCAATGTTCACTGCAAGGTGTAACATATGATCTGTGATCCCTACTTTAAAGATGAAGAGATTAAGATTCCCAGAAGTTGAAGGACTCAGCCAATGTTAAATAACTAGTAAAAGGCAGAATTGGCAAGGGCAGTTTCAAACTCCAGGCCATGCTTTTGGAGTGTATGCGTACCTCTCCCTGCTTCACCAGGGACACCTAGCTGCATCAAGACCTTTGTTGTTTTCCACCAATTCTTCTCAGGGTTCCTTCCTTTGAATAGTACCTACTTCCTCATGAAAAGCTGTAGAACAAGACAGATTGCTGGGTTTCTCTTCTCCATCATGGAGCTCCATGATGGAGAAGATAAACTTTTCATTAATATATATATAGTATCAAGCATCATGCCTGACACATTCTGAGTTCCCAAGAACTACTTGAATAAACAATATGAGAATTTAAGCAAAAGAAAAAACAGGCTGCTGGGAAGAGAGAAGGGATGATTAAAACTCTGCTGTGCCTGCAACTGCAAGGAGAATATTGAGGTCATGTCTTACCAAGACGTCCAAACAATGTCCTTGTGTGCTTTTATGAAGCCCAAGGCCACAGCCCACCTACATCACCTGGGAATACAGGAATGTTATGGGAGGAGCCAGATAAGGATTGAGGGCTTCTGTCTAATCTTGCCAATACCTTTCACATTTCATGGCCACCTTTGCTGCATTTCAAAAGTGAGGGGGTTGTGCCAGATCATTTCTGTGGTCTCTTCTACCACCTTGACTCATTTACAGAAGAACATAGAAGGTTAAAACTCATAGGTGATGGGGAGTGGAGAGAGCCTTGAGTGCAGTAACTTCAGAGTTTGTTGCACACGCTGTTACTGGGTGCGCCCCAAATGGGATTCAGTGAGCACATGAGTTTGGGATATGATCGCCTAAAACTAAACAGATGTATTTATTGCTGGACTTTACTTCTATATTTTTAATATTGTGCTTGGTTTTTTATTATAAAACTAATAAAGGGGCTATAAAACAATTCAAATAATACCTAAATCTATAAAGTAAAAATGCAAGTCTCCCTCATCCCCCAGTTCTATACCCCAGAGAATGTTACTCTTAATAATTTGGTATACATCCTTTTGGAATTTTTATATATTTTATTGTATTATATATAAAATACATATAAAGGCATAGCATTTGGATTTTTAATGGGATATTACTCATGTTTAGAAATTTGACTTGGTTTTATTCAACAGCATGTCTACATATCTAGGAGACGTTTTCATAAAAGTATGTAGAGCTCTATATCACCTTTTTAAGCAACTGATTACTGTTTCAGAATGCATTTAACTATCCCCCAATTGAAAATTTTCTGTTTTTTGCCTTTTTTTTAACTTTTTAAAGATTGCAATGTGTGTTGTGACTTTCCAAGTGGATGATATAGTATGCACTGTTTTCCAAGTACTTCTTTGATCAATGAACAATTTCTTGGCCCAGTAATCTCAGGAATACCAACAATTCTTGAGATACCACTTAGAAATCCTACTTTTGCCTTTTGGTTTTCACCTTACTGAGAATCTGATCCAAATAACTTTAAGATGAATAAGCAGACTCTTGCCAGAAAAAACAGAAAAACAGCAGGTTCTTGCCAGAAAAACAAATATGGCTGCTTGCACTGACAGTACTGAACATGCTAGTACTAGGACAGCAGGACTGGGTCCTCAGTCACTAGAATACTGGTGGGGGTGGAGGTGGGGAGCAGCATTAAAAGGCAAATCACCATGAAGGGTATGATAAAGCTGTTTTACAGTCCTTGTCACTATCAAAATTTCACTCTAGCTCTCTCCTTGACAGAGCTTTTTAATGCAAATTACAACTTGTGGTAGAGAAAAATAAGAGATTTCTGTTTCTGATCTTTGACGTCATAATTTTTCCATCTTACTTAGCTGGTTAGTAAGCCTTGTGGCGTGGTTTTCTATACAGTTTTCCAAGTACAATTTCAGAAGAAGTGAATGTATCTGCACAGAGCACACAGGCAGCATGGAGCTGCCATTGGGACCGCTTTGCTATGCACTGCTGGTGACCTCTTTGTGTTGGGTTTCATTGCTTGTCATCATTATTGTGTTCAGTAGTGGTTCAGAGACACTCATTTATTTTCAAACAGAGAAGTGCTGAAATGTCCAGTGTTATAGTGCAGTTAGTCTGGTTTTGCTTAGTACCCAAATCCATCTTTCTAAAAGAGTCTGAAAAAATGCAGCTGGCTATTGGTTGGTAGGACTTAGCAGTGTATTAAAGTATACTTGAAACAGCCTGCACCAGCAAGATAGGTCAAGGAGGAAGAAACTGAGAGAGGTGTATTATTTCTTTGGCTTTCCAATATGCCAAAGCTTGATTTGAAAGAAATTAGTTTTGTGAAAAAAGGACTATTCAGATACTAGTGCATCTTATCTTACATATAGTTTACTAGTTAAAATAAAGTCACATGTTTCTTAGAATATCAACTTCCGAAGCAATAGTCCCCAAATATAATTTAACAAACTGGTTCATCATGATCTATACTTCTTCCTTTGTTTCACAAACATCCCATGCTTACTCTGAACTAAAACTTACATTATATAATGGGTATGGAGGGAAGGAAGACTCATTCTCTGTCCATCAAATCTTGGTTTGGGAGTCAGGGAAGTAAGTATAGTATTTAAGTGATAAGAGATGACATCGTTTATTTATTCCTCCCGTAAGTGTTTATTAATCTATCCCTTTTTTTTCCCCCAAATACAAACCTATTCTCTAGGAATATTGTGCAAGAGAAACAAAAGTCTGTGTT